TTGGCCCGCAGGCCATGGTTTATCTGGTGTGGCATCATCTCCAAATTCTTTGCCTTTTGCCACACTCCGCATAGCGCTTTCTTGTTTGTCCATGGCCATCCATAAAGGATTTCCTAACACTCGACCCATATTGGTTCCTTCAGTCAAGCATTCGTTGGGCACTGATGCTGTAATGATGCCCCCCTCGGCTGCTCGACCCGCTACTCCTTACTTCCCTCCCTCAGACCTTGTGTGGGTGAGGCGACAGCTGTGGCTGAAGGTTCAAACCTGAAGCCCCAAGCCAGGGAGACAGACTGAAGACAGAAAAAGACCAAAAGGTGAGAGGCAGTTGAACAGGGAGGAGGTAGAGGAATGAAATGTCCGTTTCTTGAATTTAGAGGTTCATTTTGCTAGAATAACAAAGAACAGCAATATCAGCAGAAACAGCAGGCGGAGTATGTAGTAGAGGGAGATCCTGGAGACCCGTGACTCGCGTGCAGACTTGATCAGGATGCGTCATCTAGCTGAGCAGAGAGCATGCTGGGCGATGGCGACCAGCATTCAGTTCTGCAGTCAAGTCTGTGACCTCTGAGAAGCAGCCCACCCTCCCCGCCTCCCACCGTCGCCGGAGGCAATGGCGCACTTTAATCTAAGCGTGTGCCACGGCAATACAGCTTTGAGACGCCTCTGCCTGGAGCAGTGTTGCTGTTTTAAAGCAAAAAGAGAAATGGGAGAGGGGCACCAGCGTGGGGTTTGCTCTATTTTATTTTTAATTCAAGGGGAGAAAACTCTGAGCAAGATTTGGTGGGAACCACCTGTGTTTCCTCAGAACTTGGGTTGGGAGGGTCTTTTATTTGCAGCCGAGGGCCCCGTGAGCATGTTCTTTAGAAACTTTCCCTGGACTCTCGCAGATTCGATATCTCAGATTCCACTTTAATTAACTAATTAATTTATTTTTAGTTAATTCAGAAATAAGCCTTCTGAGCTGAGCCTCCTGAGACCTGGGTTCTAACCCCAGTTCTGCCACCGGGTGACCCTGGCAGGTCTTGTCTCCTCTCTGGCTCATAGTTTCCTCAGCCATAAGGTAAGAGTGTGTCCACATCATCTGAGAGGTTTCAGCGTACCCTGCCTATGCCATTCTGTGGGTTCAAGAGCCTGGTCCCGAATGTCTACATTGTTTAGTCTTTAATTGCTAAAAATAAAAGCACGAAATATTATCCGTCTACCATCTTAAATTAAGAAGCTCTGTAACACAGCTGCCAGAATTACATTTGTTAGCTGGCTCTTAAGTACAAAGGACGTAGGAAAGAAAACCTTCCTACTCGATGAAAGGCTCTGAGTTATGAGAACTCTCAGGATTCGGCCCACCTGCCCACAGAGGTGAGTAATGAAGACAGCGCACTATGTTATTTATTCTGTTTTAATGGTGATGAATTTTAGACTTCAGCTCCAGGCTCAATTTGAGGCAAAATCTGATTATTTTGTTACTGCCCCCTCTTGGATGCTCAGTCTCCCTCTCGAATTCCGAAAATAGACTCTGGTTTCCCATGCTGTGCTGCTATACAGCTGTCGCTGCCATGTGCCCGGTTCATGTCACTGGGCTTTGCCTACCAGGAAGGTAATTGCTCAATCCCGTTCTCATGCCAAAGAGCTGCTCATTCCTGATGCCCCTCGGGATGGCTGACTTGTGAACAGCCACAGTGACAGCGGGAAAGGGTGAGCTTCTGCGACCAAAGGAAACATTTTTGCAAGGGACAGTGTGACGGCCACTCAGATGACTCAGATGCCATTTAGAGGCTAATTCTTGTTTTACCAAGTATTCGTGGCATCAGATGAATGTGGTCTGGGCTTTGGAGCGATGGCGGTGGCATGGTGATTACAGAGCCCGGGCCTGTCTTTCCTGGTAGAAACAGTCCTACTGCCAAATCCACCTTCGCTTCTGGTAAGGGGATGGTTTGGAGATGCCACTGGCTGTTCTGTGTGGGTGACTCGGGGATCTGCAGGCCTGGAGAGGACCCCGGATCCCTCTCCCAGACCCACACGTCATCTCCATAGATACCGGAAGTGAAGAAGGGCCAGGGTCTTCTCTCATCTCTCCTTTCCTCTCAGAGGCTCCAGGGCACTCCCTTCAGCCGTCCTCTGCCCGGCCCAGAGCTCCTCCCCTGCACTCCCCCTCATGTAGAACCCTCAAGCCCACAGGATCTGCTGCTGCGTCTTCGTTTCATAACAGCTACATCACCACTAACGTGTCTGTACCGTTCATTCTGTGCCAGACAGTCTTCTAGGCATTTCACGTGCATTTGAAACATTGCTTCATGTAGCCCCATGACCACCCTGTGGCTGGGGGTAAGGAGTTTGGATTAAATGTGGCCCCAATGCCCGCGACTGCTGTCCTCGCCCCATGCCTGCCTTCTCTGTCCCCTCCCGGCCATCAGCCAGTGGGCCTGGGGGACTGAAGCAGCCTCTTAAAGGCCCCAACATGCACAAAACTCCTGTGTCTCCTTTTTTTTTCTTTTTTATTGAATTTACTGGGGTGACATTGTTTAATAAAATTAGATAGGTTTTAGCACCTGTGTCTTAAAAGTCCATTTCATCAGTATTTCTTTTAGACTGGAACCATCATTAAAATGGGAATGCTCTTATTTTGTTTTTATAGTATATATTCTGTTCCCAATCTCCTCGCTCTATTAAAACTGGAAGTTTTTACTTTCTCACATACAGATGTGACTAAGGTGCTGAAAAGGGGTAGTCAAAGAGAATTGGGGTGAGCTGACACCCAGTCCAGGATGCGGATGTTGTGGAGAGCAAAATGAGTTCTTGCTTTGCTTGGAGGCATTCTTTGGGAGGGGCCTCCTTCCGTGACTGAGGAATGCTGACCTGAGCTGCGTGGGGAGTCGTGTAATCTTGACGTCTGCAGGGACGTGGGGAGGACAGGTTACACACCAAGCGGTGTGCTTGGCATTGAGACTTCCGGAGCATCTGCAGCTGCCTGGGCGCTTCCTCAGGCAGCGCATCGCCGTGTGTACGATGCCAGGAGCCCACAGGAAGAAAGAATGGTGATGCCAGAGCCCAGACACCTCTGAATTCGGGTGAGGGGCCAGTTCGTCGTTGTTGACTTCATTCCTGAATCCCTGTGTGATACCCCTGTGGCTTATTGTGGGCTGTAAGTTGTTATACTTGTGAGAAAGAGGCCCAAGTGGGGAGGGGTCTGTGAAGGATGTGGCAGTGAGAGTGGAGGAAACTTGTCACTCAGGACTCAAGCCAGCTGAGCACTTTGAGGTGGGCTGGGGCGCGGCATCCTCGCACGGGGTGCTGGTGGGCATAGTGGGATCTGTGAGGCTCCTTGGAAATTCTGCAAGCTGGAAAGACCTCAGTCCCCAGTAGCCTCGGGGGCCCCAAAAGGCCAAGGGAGCAGTGCCCCATTAATAGTAAAAGATCTTGCTGGAGCTCAGAAATAGCTCGGGCGCCCCGTGGCATTCTGGGGGCCTTTAGCTGTATTTCGCTCTGTGCAGCATGAGTGGGCCTGGAAAGTGGGCGTGGCATGTCGGAGCAGCGGAGCCTGGTGCTGAGAGCTGCCTGGTTCAGACCCTGGCTCCACCAGAACCCGCTGGGACCTCACCGGGCACGCAGCAGGCTGTGCTCCGGCTTCCTGTCTGTGAGGGGAGGGACAGAAAGGGCCTGCCTGGACCTCATGGGGTTAGCACGACCAACGAGGCAGCTCTGGTACAGCAGCTAGAATGGGTCCTGGCTCCATAGCCCATGTCGTCCAAAAGCTGTGTCTGTCCGTTCAGGCTGCGATAACAAAATCCACGGACCAAGAGGCTTGTAAACAACAAATGCTTGTTTCTCAAGGTTCTGGAGCTGGAAGCCCAAGATGATGGCTCCAGCAGATTTGATGTCCGGTGAAGGCCCACTTCTGGGTGGCAGGCTGCCAGCGTCTCGCTGGGGGCTCACACGGCGGGAGGGACCAGGGACCGCTCCTTTTTTATAAGGACACGAATCCTATTCATGGGGCTCTGCCCTCATGACTCCATCACCCTCCAAAGGCCCCACCTTCTGGCACCGTCTATGGGGGTTAGGTTTCCACATATGAATTTGTTGGGGGCGGTCGGGGGAGAGGCACAGCATTCAGTCCATACCACTTGTTAAGGAAACAAAAACAACCATAGTCTAGCCCAGTGGTCAGCAAACTCATGAGTCAACAGAGCCAAATATCAACAGGACAACGATTAAAATTTCTTTTGAGAGCCAAATTTTTTAAACTTAAACTATATAGGTAGGTACATTGTTATTAACTTAATTAGGGGACTCCTAAGGCTTAGGAAGAGCCACACTCAAGGGGCCAAAGAGCCGCATGTGGCTCGCGAGCCCCAGTTTACTGACCCATCTAGCTTTTGATTCAGAACAGGTGGTGTCAGCTGCTGCACTCCTTTCGTTCATCAGGAAAACAGTTGATGTTTATCATTCCTCTTAGCAGTAGAGCTGGTAGGACACACTTACTTTTTATCACCATCGACCCTTTCTCTCCACATACCGGCTCCTTTGCCTAATCTCAGCCAATGTGATGGTTATTCTTGTTTCCACCTTCATCATTTCTGTCCCCTTCCCTCAATCAGTTTCTAAGTACTGTTAGCTTTTCATTGCTTGGTGTTCCCTCCACAGCACCTGTCTCCCCCATTATCCCCAGCCCACACCTCCCCCAACCTGGGTTAGGTCGCCCCCCACGAACCCCATCTCGCCCACTTGTCAGGTGGGGGCTTGTGTTGGAGGGGTTGGCGCCCCTGCTTCCTTCCGTGCAGCGGAGGGAAAACTGCCTGAGACCAAGGCTTGTGCTTTCGTCACCGGTGGGTCATCTTGGCGTCTGGCACAGTGCACGCCACCCGTGGGGCGGGGTGGGAGATTGTGTTTCAAGCATCCAAGGAAAGCAGAGGTTGTCGGTCTCACTGCAGTGTGCAGAGACCCAGACTCATGTGGCGTGTGACGGCCATGCTCACGTGTCTGCGTCTGTTCTCGCCCCCCAGTGCTTAGAGAGAGCCATGAAGTTCGCCTTCGAGGAGTTCCACCTCTGGTACCAGTTTGCTCTGTCACTCATGGCGGCCGGAAAAGTGAGTCCCCCTTCTACGTGCGGTTCTCCGTGTCCACGCGCAGTGCCTTCCAGTCCCGGGGCGGTGGCATCCCTCAGGGGCCTAAGCCATAGGAAGCTGCCCTGTGGCCATTTATAAATGAATAATCAAGTTTAATTATTTGGGGCCCAACACAGACACATCGTTGAGAAGAATTCTGAAATATTTGCCTTTTTCTTGCCATTGTAACTTTGTCACATGACCATGTGGCTTGAACTAAGGCTGGTTTCTTCACACTGGCCCTCTTGCGCATTTGGGAGCATAACTAACTCCTAGGGGGGTGGGGGGTGCTGTGTGGTTCTCTGTGGCTGTTTATCTCAGGATGTGTCTGATGTTCGTGGAAAACGTCAGCTTTGGAGTCCAGCTGCCAGAGCTGGGGTCTGGGCTGTGTGACCCGGGGCAGGTCACCGTGCCGCTTTCCTTTTCGGTAAAATGTAGTAATAATAGGGCCAACTTCTAGAGTGGTTATTGGGTAAATGAGATAAGACCCACCAGGTGCTTAGTGTAGTACCCCCACGTGGTGCATACCCAATAAAGAGAATTAATTGGGGCCATTTAATGAATCTGCCATTTAGCCAATTGTTAAGTCTGTGATATAAGGTTATTTGGGGGAGGTGGAGACAGAAATGTAGTATGGTATGCTATAAAACGCTTATTTTTCATAATAACACCAGGAAGGAAGAAAATGAGGGTGACTCCAGGGAAGTTGAACCCCAGTTTACAGCCCTGTCACTCAGGAACCCATGTTCTGGTTGTTGCTGTCCCAGGCCCCTGCGGGCTTGGGCTCCCCGTTGGAACACCGCATTAAGAGGACAGCTAACCAAAACCCCAGGGAAGCTTTTAGTGTTTGGTTCTGTCAGACATTCCGAGTTGCCCAGAAACACTCTCTCTCCTTTGCCAAGTCTGCCCGTGCCGTGAAGGTGCTGAAGGAATGCATTCGGCTGAAGCCCGATGACGCCACCATCCCGCTGCTGGCCGCCAAGCTGTGCATGGGCTCCCTTCACTGGGTGAGTCGCTGGCCGCGCTCAGGGCAGGGCTGCCAGCCTGTTGCATTGCCAGGCAGAGAGGAAAGCGCAGGGACTCACCAGCTACACACACGCAGGCTGCCCAGAGCCCCAGACCCCGGCTCCTCGGGCCTCTCC